AGGATCACTCAGCCTTTGTGGCTCTTTAGTTTAGAGGATTGATTTATGGATCTTTGGGTTCCCCAAAACTTTCTGGACCCGTACACTGCTTTATTCGCACAAGGGGAACAGTCCCCATGTGTGACGGCTACCGTTTTCCCAAAGCATTTTCTTTTTTATATTTTTCTGCGAAAAATGGTTTTTCTTGGAAATTTTCCCCGTGCTTTCCAAACTTCAAATGCAATACACTTTTCTGTTCGAAAAATACTTCGGGTTCTTCGGGAGCTTATTTATATCTGTATCCCCTAGCTTTCGTTCTTGTCCTTATCGTCCTTGCGATTCTTTTTCTTTGTCGTAAAGGTTGTTCAGAATGTCTTTAGAAATGAATTTGATGTAAAATATGCGGCTGATGCAACATACCCCGAATACGCTGTTTTGGCGAGAAAAAGCATGATTTTGGTGGGGTTTTCTTTTCGAATTGTTAGCCCAGCCAGAAAAGCAACCATTGCTCCATCCTTTTACTATCGCTTGATACTAGCGGATTTCTATAAATCAGAACAGAATTAACTTTTTTTCTCATTTTCCTGGCAGGGTCTGATTCGGACTTGATAAATGTTGTAGGAATTTTAGAGGTATAAACAATGAATACCCCTGGCTAGGAGACTGGAAGAGGACGGGGACCTGAAATCGCATCTATGCATTAACATATGCAGTTTGTTTGGCATTGCTGGTCTACCGTAAGGAGGAACACAGTCGAATTTTGATAATTAATGAAAATACTGGAAGTGCCATTTAGATCTCCCAAATAAGCACATCTGTATATGCACTGTGTTCCTCTATAATTCGAGAAAAACAGTGCACAGGAGAAGGTATGTTACAGAAGAAAATAGTCGGAAAATCATTCAAAAATCTAGTCAACGCTTTTTTATTCGCACAGTGAACCAAAAAAAAAAAACGGTTTGAAAACCACAGAAGAAAACACATTACAATGATGTACATTACAGTGAGATCAGTTAAAGCAATTCGTGATGATTATTTTTCACACGGAAGAGTGATGAGAAGAAACGCACAACAAAGTCAGAAAAAAAAAACACGAACATTTTCATCAAATCCCGCTTACAGATAGACAGACCAATAAGAAATAAAATTTTTGATCAACTGACTTTATCAAACTTCTCGAAGTCCGAAGATTCTCAAAGATTTTCTGACGATTCTTGGGCTTTCCCCAGGAATTCTGGCGAATTCCGAGACTCTTTAGGGCAATCCCAGGGGAGTTCCGGGACTTTTCACGGCTTTGAACCAAAAAAACTTCTATTCCAACACATTTCCGAGTTAAAAAAACGAATGATAAAATGATATCAGAATATGAGAAGTGCACCGAGAGACAAAGAATCCTTGTAAAAAAGGAAAAACTCGCTTTTTTTGACATGTTGATGTACAAGTTGAGTAAAAAGTAACGTGTCCAGCTTCTGATGAAAAGCATGCAGGTGTCCGGGTTCCGGTCCTTTTTAGCCAGCCGTCTCTAGTCTGGTCAAATTACCCTTAGCCTGGCCAAAAAACCAAACTGCCCTGGCCGAAATGACCCTTCTTTTTCAAAAAAATCGTTAAATTTTGAGTATTCAGATACCTTTTTCTTAATTTTCTTACATAATATTAACAGAATTTAGCAGAATTTTAACAGATTTCCCTCAGTTTTTCTTAATTTCTTAGTTTTAACAGGACTTTCGACACTTTACTGCTGATGCAACAGTATTTTAGCTGAAATTTTTGACCTTATTCAGAAATAATTGGCCTCTACTTTGGCAGCCCTTTCTTTGGCTGAAAATTCACCTGTTTCCCCCGAAACGGACGAATTTCAAGTTAAAACCAGTGCTGAGGAAGCAGCTGGTCCTGGACACGCCACTTCAAGCGCTATTTTTTTTGCTTAACAAATAAGGTGGGAGAAAATTGCAGTAAAAAATAACCGTAGGCCACAATAAGCAGCCGACTTGTTGCTGACTTACACAAACACCTTGCTGCTTGACATTTTCACATGGTGGTTAGAAGGCTATACTGATGATTCCCATCGCACCTTATACTACCTGGGTTTATAGCTGAGGGATGATGAAACACAGGCAGACCAACTTCTACATATTCCTTTTTACATGACTT